TGACATAAGAAAAAAAAACATTACGTGATATTTATTTCACAATTAAACAACAACGAAAATCCAAAGAAATTATTTAAACAGATCTCACGCCACAGTGGATACGACAAGAAGCCTCGCTTTCGAATCTGTTTTCATTTCCCCCACAGCCCGAATAAAACATTGGCATACACCTCCTCCGTACTACGTCGAAAAACCAAACTTTGAACATACGCCCGCATGGGCCTTTCAGAGGCACTTGATAACAATAGTATGGTATGTTTTTCAAATTGGACGGAAACGGGCCAAGTTCCGGACCTGGAAACCGAAATGAGTTGTTATGAATATTATAGATTATATTAATAAATAAAATAACAGTCTAGCAGTCACCTGGAGACACGCAGTAGGCTTTTTTGGTCAAATATTGACTCCTATTTCACCATAACCACAAGCAGAATTAGGTAAGTACGTTTACTCAACGCTTATTGCTTTTGCCTTGAAGTGACTGATTTCGTAAATGGACAGAATTACTGATGCCGGAAAATTATTCCATTACATTATTTCGTCTGACTCGGCAACCTTTGTCAAAAAGACTTGAATACACACTTTTGAGATTTGAATACACGATTACGCAATACTTTGCCTTGTTGTCGGTTCAATCCAAATACGTTAAGCAAAAACTTATACAGCGTGTCGTTACCATCGCGACAATAAATGAACACACGTCTTACGCTACTTGCCAATAATCATAAAAAAATATTAACGTTAAACAAAATCCATAATTGAAAAAAAAAAATATTTTTCAAATAAATTAATTAAGTAAAAAAGATACAAAATTTGTAACATCCTATACAACTCGCGCCAAAGCGTCGCAATAGAAGCCTCTCCTGCTAACAGTATGTTTTGTCTCTTTTAAATTCATTCAACCCATTCATATGCTGTGACCTTTAAAAATGAACTTTACGTTACAGTTTTATACGTAAGGGTGTTCTAAAATGTTGTGAAAAAAAAAATGTTTTGGAAAATTTAATAACTCGGTATTGATGTTTGAATAATGTAAATGTTTAATACAATTTTAAAAAGTTATCCTCTATATGTGTGTTCATTTATTGTCGCGGTGGTAACGGCACGCTGTATAACATGTCTCATTCGGTATGGGGCCTCCTCCTTACAAATAAAACAGATAATAAATAAGGGCCTAAGTCCACTCGGATTGATCGAGTATATTGAATTAAATCAGGTCAAAATTTGTTTGATACATAGTAAGTGTTTGGAGTCTAACGCTCGGTTTCTGAAACACTGATCATCGTAGAAGTTAACTAATCAGCTGTCAAATATTAAACTCTCAGAATTGATTCGAATGATCTTCTTAATGATCAATGTTTCATAAACCGAGCGTAAGTGTATTTTCGGACGTTACTTTAATGTATACGAAATATTGAGCCGTAAAAATAATACTTTTAAGAAACTATTACAGATTCAACTTACGTCCATCTCTTACGTAATCGTGTAACCGCGAATCGACTAAAAGTGGCTGCCCAAGCAAACAGATCAACAAGCAGCAAGCGGCTTTCATCGTCGAAACCATATCACCATCACAGTAAAGGATTGTACGTAAATCTCCGCCAAGCATTATTGCACGGGCCACAATCAAACTGATGCAATCAAAAACAATCAAGAGTCGTATCCGTTTTATTGCTTCCGTATAAATCAATTTTAGATATCAAAGGCCGTGTTCATTACTTTGATACGTGGAACAAAGGAATGGAAATCACGCTAGCGTTTCGGATTCGTTGGGACAATTTTAACCCTCCGTAAATGTGATATAACTACTCTTTCAGAGAATACACTCAGAGATCTTTTTAAAGAGATTAATATACTCACTGTTGCGTCTCAATATATTTATTGTAATATTTTATATGTTAAACAGAATATTAATAATTATCAAAAGAATAGTGACAGACATAAACTAAATACTAGAAATAAGGACTAACTAACTACGCCATTATTTCGCCTACAAAAAGTAAACAGATCGTTCATGGGGCAAAGTGTGCGCATGTATAATAAAATCCCACAGTCGATGTTAAGTCTGCCACTTGATGAATTTAAACGAAAAATTAAAAGTACACTTATGGCTAAAGCCTATTATACTATTGCCAAATATCTTGACGACGCCAATGTGTGGGGTTAATACTGTTGATACTCACGTAGGCTAAAACAAGACTATTGTACCTGTACTATTATATTGTAAACTGATTATTTAAAAAAGAGCAACTGTTGAGTTTCTTGCCGGTTTCTTCTCAACAGAAACTGCTTTCCGAACCGGTGGTAACTTACGAACGTGTTAATTTCTTGTAAAATTTTGACGTTTCATAAGAACGCGCAAGCGTCTATGTGAATAAAGATATTATTATTATTATTATTATTTTAATTATTATTATTTCTTCTCTCCCTTAAAAGATCCCGAGACATTGTTTCGTAATACTAAATAAGAATAAGAAAGAACTCAGGCAGAACATGGGATAATGGCTTTGGAAAGCTTACTTGTGAAATTTATTGACACATTAAATACTATGTTGTTAAAAAAAAAATACGCAATGTACAAAAGTGACATAATTTACGTGACATGTCACTGGGCAAAAAATCTCGTGTAATGAATAATAATTTGAACACGTTACCGAAAAGCAGACGTTTTTTGTCTGTTTTTTCTTTCTGCAAGATCGATGCGGCACAACGATTGGAATCTCCAACGGGATGTTCTCGATAACGTTTTCTTCTTTTAGATGAAATCGAAAACGCAATAAAACTCAAGTACCTAATCTCTCCAGCGTAACCTACAAAGGTTGCCTTTATAGGTTGCGCAGGAGTGGTTGGCTTTGTAATAGAATGATATGATAAGCAATATCTATCACTATTCTACTGTGAGCTTGGATAAACGGCTTGTAATTGGAAGTAACACAACTCCACAAGACCCGCGTAAGTACTTATTTATTCGCAATTATTTTTTCTTCATTCTTTCGCATTTTTCTGGTGTGGTAACTGGGGCCCATCCTCTGCTTGGAACGAGAACCTCAGTATCCCCAAGGACTGTGGTACTCACTTAATCCGCTTGCTCCTTTGCTGCTAAAAATATACCCAGCTTCAACTCAGATTTGATACAGGTTGTAAAAAAGAGTGGGGCAATGTTCTTATTAAGATAATTGTCGATAATTCGTCTCCTGTGATTTCTTTGTTTGTCGTAATTTAGAAACGAAACTTTAATATTATATAGTACCTATACATACTGAGTAGGTTTCAAATTATTTTTATAAATGTTAAGAAACATTTTTAAACAATGAGTAGTCTTAAAATGTTTACAAAGGCAGAACGATCACATAAACAGAGATTTTAGAATAAACATGTCTCGGGGTTCGCATTTCCAGCGGCGGTGTTTGCGTTTTTCTTTCAAGCGGGTACTTTACGGCGATGGTATCAAGTAAAAATGTTAAAATGTTCATGCCACAACGAAACTAAAATCCTTTAAAATGCCTCGCGAGGAAAAACGTTCGTTTTCTGTAAGGAGTTCTCATAGTAGTAGATAACTATAAGATTATTATGTATTTCAAAACTTGTAGAAAAATTTAATGTTTAATCTTAAGTGCAGAGATTAGCACTATAAAAAGTTTAAATTATTACGTATTTATAAAAAAAATATAAAACGCATTCGAATTCGACATTTTAATAATACGTTCAGTTGATTTGTTACGGTATACTACATAATAGCTATATATATACTAGCTCATGACTTAGTTCCCGTGATCGACCCACGGAATCAGCTCAAAATAAGATATCAAAAAAATCTATGTAACAGATTTTGATATCATATTTTGAGCTTCGTATAGTTTTGTTTAATTATAAACCCTAAAAGTCTATTGAAATCAGTTCAGTCTTTTCCGAGCGTATTTGAGAAACTTTCAGACTGAGAGAGAAAAATTGCATAAACGTCCTTTACAATTACGCATGGTGTATTAGTGTATCACTATTCGTCTATTCTTACTACTTACCTTAAATTTTTATTTTTTCTATTTTTTTACGTGAAAAGTTGCCAAGCGAGCAGGCGGGCCACCCATGGACATCTGCTACACCCGAAGGTTGCAGATGCGTGTACAACCTTTTGAAAATTGGGCCCGGCTCACTCACCAGACGAAACGCGAAAGTATTAATTCCACTTAACGCTGGTCTGCTGTGAGGTAATGGCACTTACCCGGACGGACCTGCCCATTCGTGCAACAGCCGAGGCTGCTGCGTTAAAAAATGTAACACCGTTAAATTTATTTACCACCGATAAATTTATTTTGCAATCTAAGGAAAACAATTTATTATAAATATATTTCTATACTATACAAGAAAACTTAAAATAATGTAAAACTTTTACTGTGGTAGTTCCACGTAGTAGTCATTTCTTCTTCTCAGTTGTTCTTCAAACCCTACGCGTGTTGAAAATTTCTATGGGCGGCAGATATCACTTAACATCAAGTGAACCTTCAACTCGTTTGACACCTTTTCGCAAGGGAATACAAAAAAAATCTAGTAGCGGATGAAATAATACATAGACTAAAATAACATTTTTAGAGGCAAAACCCCTTTTGTAAGTAACATTATTTGAGTTTTGAAGAATATCGATTCAGTCAGCTGAGTGATTTACAAGATCTATATTGGTTTAGAACATTGGACTGTTAACATTCAAAAAGGAAAACGCCGAAATAAATGATGCGAATTAGAAGCTCAAGCCTTAACAAAATTAGAAATTGTTGGCGAGAGAAATTAGTTCTGAGGTCTCATGATGACTCGCCGTTGGTAGATCTGTTCATTTTGCTTGTGTAGGCTATATCTATATATTGTTTCTCAAAGGTGTTTTTTGTCGGTGTGCCATAACTTCCATGATTCTTTATCGTTCATTATAAATCATTCGAACACAATTTTAAAGCTTCGGTTTTTTATACTACTATTGATGAAAGACAAACCAAGACAAGTAGACAAATAGAATGAAGTTAGTTAAGATTAAAACTGTGGTAAGGCCACATAAATGACATCGCTGTTGTACGAATTGTCGGGTCCAACCAGGGAAGTACCTCGACCTCACAGAAAATGGGCATGAAGTGAAAGTGTTATACTTCTACGTCTCGTCTGGTGAATAACTGGGTAACCATAGCCCCGTTTATTAAAAGATGGCATCGCATCTGTAACCGTACAGTTGTTGAAAATGTCCATGGGCAGCGGTTATCACTTAAAATTAGCTGAACCGCTAGCTCGCTTGCCACCTTCTAACATAAAAAAAAAAACTTCTAATTTATACCGGTCTGACATAGTGGTTCCCCGGACGGGTCTGCCTTTTGCAATCCAATGAGCATCCAATTATCAGGACATTTTAAATTACGAAAAAATTGGCGAATCTATTTTTAAATCGACTCGGGCTGTTTTGAAGACTACTTTTTGGCGCTTAAGCGATTGCGGTTATTGCAGTTTGCAGATAAAATATTGGCGCCGATGCCATCGTATCTATCATCAAAAGAGAAAATGTTACCAATTTTGTTCTTGTTGTGAAAAAAACGCCGTGAAATTGATTGTTTCGCTTTCAAGACGTCTTTAACCGTATCCTGTAACTTTTCTTTATCTAAGCTTTAGGTTATCGGGGTTTGAGTTTTGACGAAAAATAGACACACAGATACAAGGGAAATGGTCTTTCTAACCAAAAAAGTACCATTATTAAAATCATGGTTGCCTTTCTTGTCTAAACAGCAATTTAAATTTGTACTCGTTTACATCGAATTATGAAAAATCTCTAGTAAATTTGCTTAAAAGTTAAGAATTAAAAAATTGTAATATATTAATAAATTGTATAATATTATGTTCCCAAGCAGCAAAGATAAACAGATTAAGCTTAAAACAACAAACGCATTTAAACGCTTTAATGTGATTGCAACAAGCGTTTTGTATGAAAAGATGCGCGCGTGTGGTGCATTACCTGCATTATCGGCGATTTGCAAACATCATTTTTAAATGCAAAATCATATGACATATTATTTCCTTTCACATTATCAGTTCAAAAATCAAAAATCATTCCAGTTCTTTTATTGATTATAATTCAAAACATTTCCATTCTCACTGTTCACGTAATTCCCACTCTACTTATCCAACCGAATATAGTCTCCGAGGCGGTTGAACGTTTGCGACGGCACAGCACCATTTTGACGGAGTAGGTGTCGTCACACCCGAGAAGGGGAGGCCCAACAGATAAAAAAAAATTATAGTGTGATAGTGCATGGAGTCCCTCCGCGCGGAAGAAGTGAAACTTTAAGTGCATTCGCTCTCGCTCTGTCTCTTTCTATTCCCCTTCCCCAGGAGTGTTGGACGTTTAACGCAACTGTGCTTTCATACCCCGCCCCCCATGGTAGCGTTAAACGTTTAACGCAACCTTTTTGGAAGTCGCATTGGAAGTTTCAATTTAAAAAGGCGGTCGAACGTCAACCACCCACACGAAACAAGCGGCCGACTGACCTGCGTGTGCGCGGCGCAGAACTCGGGCGTGGGCTGCCTGAACGGGCTGTGCACTGGGCACGAGGCCGAGTGCTGGGCGTGTGCCACGTGGTGGGCGTGCGCGTGCGCGTGCGCGTGGTGCGCGTGCGCGAGCGGGTGCGCGTGCGCGTGCGCCGCGTGGCGGTGGGCGAGCCGCGCGGCCGCCGGCTGGGCGGCGTGCCGTGCGCACAGGTGCGTCGCGCTGCCATGGTGCTCGGCGAGCGTGAGCGTCGAGCAAGACGGCCGCCAGTAGCCGCCCCCCTCCTCCATGTCAGCAGCGTGGGGGCATCGCGCGGCGCCGCAGCACGCGCACCGCCTAGCGCACGTCAGCGCATGCCGCCGCGCCTCTCGCGCGCACCACTCGTCGCGCTCGCGGCCCGACACCCTTCCCGCTCGCCGCGCCCGCGCCCCCTAGCGTCGCCGCCGACCGCGCATCGTCTCATCCGCGCCGTCGAGGACCGCCCACTGCTGAGCGCTCTTTCCAACCGATGTACACTTGGGTTTTACGCGCGACGTTTACGGGAGGCGATGGGAGTGTTTTTATTTGTAGTGTCGCGTCTCTTCACTGTTAGAACTGCGATCGCGTGAAAAGGAGAACGGCGCGCACAGGGCGAACGTCGACAACCATCTCGAAAAAGTAGGCAGTAAGAAACGAACTTCCATTAAAAGTACGAAACAAGTGATATCATTTGATTGATCGTAGCCGAGATTATTGTCGGTGAAATTTGACCTCGTGGTAACAGGCAATCATAAAATGAAGTTGTAAGGTTCAAAATGAAGTCTATACAAGCGGTATCGAGAAGTATTCTAAGTGTGGGTGTAAGAGATATTGAACATTATACCTAGTCAGCATATAGAAAAGAGTTTAAAACTTTTGCTACATATATAATGTACCTACTGCGAGCTCTACCGATGCTAACTCAATGACTCTCATTAACTTACGGTCATTCCTTTTTGTTACATTAGTCTAACGAATGTCAATATTTACAAAAAAAGGAGTTAAGTCTATATCGCTTTTGTTGTTAAGTCATTCTGAACAACAAAAGCGATGGAAAATAATTTCTCTGAAAATTTGCCTTACAAAACATTAGAATATACCAATTACCAATTTATATTACTCAATTACCTATATGACACCATACAATGCGTTTGTTTATATTGCAAGGTAACGTAATGAAAATTAAATTGTTACCAATCAATACTGAGCTATTCGTCGGTTATCCTTTTCTGAAGCTCATCATTCAAAATAACCGTCAATCCGGCCGAGGCAAATCAGTTGGCCCACGTTGGCTCGTAAACATCGGCAAGGTGGAGGGTGGTTTAGACCCGTTGCCAGAAAGGGGAGCAAATAATATGGCATACGGACCGGTGGCTGCTGCAATACAATTTAGGTCACTGGGCCATCAGTTCGGACCCGTACAATGAGATATCGCTGCGGAGTCGGAGGGGTCTATTCGGCAGTGTCAGTCTCGAATACAACTTTGCAGTTGTAATAAAACAAAATAGCAACGCTAGCTTGCACAGATTAAGCGCAATATAAGAATAAAATAAGTGGGAGGACCACGTAACTGTCTTCGCTGTTGCAAGAATTGCCAGGTCCATCCAGGAACGTACCGCGACCTCACAGAGATCGGCGTGAAAATGGAAGTGAACTTCTACGTTTCGTCTGGTGAATGCGGTAAACGTATCCCCCTTTATTAAAAGGCGGCAACGCATCTGCAGCCGTACGGGTGTTGCAAATGTCCATGGGCGGCGGTTATCACTTAACATCAGGTGAACCGCCAGCTAGCTTGCGAGCTTCTCACACCAAAAAAAATCCCAGCCCTGAGGAATTCTTGCGGCGTTTGCCAAATCTAGATTGCGGGGAAACATTGCCGCCGACGCAGCCCGAACGGAGCGGCGGAAATAAATCAGCGTCCCCCGTGCGTGTTCCTGCATCGTAAAGCCTTTATATGTCGTTCACATCGGGAAGTTGAACGCCACAGTGGAAGGGTTAAGTCAACGAGACCTAATAGAATCGTAAGATAAACTGAACCATCAAATAGAATACGATGCGGGTGGCCTCTCGAAGTGTTTTTTGTTTTGTGTTTCGTATTTTAGTTCTATTAATACGGTAAAGGACATTCGGGATTAAAGAGTTAACGTCGCAAATACTATCAAGTTGTAATACAAAATTATGAGTGGCAAAGCTCATCTTAAAAATTTTTAGATACAAAACATATGTACCCTCTGTTTAAATTTTATAAATACAAAACATTGGTGCTATAATATTGCGGCATCGAGTTTATGGAATAAACGATCGTCGTTTACAGACATCTAATAGTTTACAAAAAAATATTTATGGAAACGATTTTCGATATAAATCTTAATAGAGTCTTGAATATACAAAATAATTATAATTCTTGGTTATCAAAAACCAATCGTTCTTAAATAACCAAAAGCTAAACATAACTACTATCAGGATCTAATATCAGTATGTGTTCACTCAACTTGAAATAAATAATTGAAAAAGGCATTCTATAAACGTCGTATAAATTGAGACCCTTTCTTGTCTCATTGTGTATCGTATAGATTATAAACGTGTTATGTCATAACCTCATTTCGAAGAACACGTTTATACAAAATCGAAACAAGCTGGCTGCGAGATATAAGCTTCAGCGGACATCACTAACAATCCTTGGCTAGCTAAGCCAATTTAATCCGACAAACGGGGCCGCAAGCATAAACTCAATCCTCTTCAATTTCTTGAACTGTTATCACTCCAAGTTTTCTTCGAATTCGATTGCAGATTTCTTTTACAACATATTTTTGATTTGATTCAGTCTTGACAAAGGTACTAAGAAAGCATGTACAATACATTATCTTGATAAGATACATTATCTTTTACAAAGAATAGAATATTGGATTCAGATGTAACGCAAAATATAAATGCATGTTCTCTCGTCAAATATACGGTTTATCCTGTGAACTTTGGAAGTGTACAAAGTTTTCAGTCGTAAGCACGAACAAAGGTACGTCTCTCAAAGAGGCACGTAGCACGGGAATCGACAAAGAGAACCGCAAACGTCACGCCGTGTTTGCCAGCCGGCGTTATTGCTTTCACTCAGAAGAATAGTTTACGTTCACATAATAATAATAATATCGGAACGGCTATCAATGATAAATAGCATGGACGGAGCTTGACAACATGCAAGTTATGATGGAGCTCAGCATAATATAGATCGACCTCAGGAATTAATTACAAAGCCGATAGGAAAACGCGCGGTTGTCGCGCGACCGAACCGCCGCCCTCCGCCGTCGATAATCTCATCGCGACCTCCAGACTCCGCAGGTGACTACGTGAAATAAATTTCACTGCCCGTGCCGTGGCACTTCTTTGATTGGCTTCCAACAACGCGAAAACCTCGCTCTCTAGCGGAGCGGAAACCGCGGGCTCCTCCGATTTCGAGATGGTTCAACTACGTTCGGCGTCGATTCGTTGATGTTTATCACCACCGGCGTCTAGCGTTACTTACTGTGACAGATAGCGCGCTTATGGTCACTGTGGAAGTCAGGAATGTATCGGGATTGTGCGAGAGACGCGTGATGTGGCACGCTCGGCGCGGCGTCGACTAGCGGACGGCCGGGCGCTCCGGAGGCTGCGCGAACGTCCCGCCCCCGCCTTCATTCACTCACACAACACCGAGCGAGGCCTAGTCCGAAACGGCCAGACTTTAATGCGGCATGTGCTGCTGCTCCCGCGAAATGTAAACCGAAATTACGTAACGGTCTTTTTTTAAACAATTGGAAAAATTCGACGCCCCTACTAGACGTTTCCCAAACACTATTTGTAAAAGGCTAGCAACGCGAAGACAAATCTTGAATCAATTTAATTTTTTCCATAGGAATACAATTGAAGTAAGACATTTTTATCATTGGCAACAATAAAAACGTTGAGATTAAAATAATTTCGACATCACAAGAGTTGAACTGTGTCGAATATATAACTAATTATACCGCACTTAGTGTTTAATATTGTAAATATGTTTTGTACAATAAATTTAAAAATAAAATAAGTACTACTAACTAAGTAAATTCTTTTAAAATGCAAAGATACCCAATAAATACGTACGATTACAACATAGTTCTAAATTATAGTGATGATAAATCAGCATCAAACGTTAAAATAGTTTCTTGAAAAGATCAATACTTAATACAGAAATATCATTCTAGACTAACAATAGGTTTAGCAGCTGATTATTTTCTTTGTTCGCGCGTCGTGTTCAAGGAGCGCAATCATGTATGATTCTAACGCATTTGCACTTCCTATTACTAAGAATAGCTACAATATATTACTAGTGACTAATACACCAGTCAAAAATATTAGCGGAAGCAGTATTCGAAGCGATTAAATCACCGGTTTGGAACCCTTCTCATCTTATGGAACAACTAATCGATACATATATGACGTCAACAACTTTGTGCCCACCGTTGTTTGTAAATCTCCTCGGTGTAAGTACAAACGAAATTAATTCATGTAGTCATATTCTCACAAGATGTTCGATTTTTTTTTGTAGTTGCGCATTTTACTTAAGTGATAGATATAAAACTTAAAAAAGATTTATCAAACTTATCGCCGAAAACAAAAACTATTTCTGCCAATTCACAATGGAGCCGCACGGTATACTACATCCTAATAACCTCTGTACAGAGTAGGCCTTTGCCCAGCAGTAGGATAAAAGTATATAGGCCGTTACTTTACTGTTACTTTGTTCAAGCCTTTTCATCCTAAGGCCAAACAGATAAAGTTAATGCCATTCACTTTTATCCGAGCTTATTTCATTATGACGTAAACAAAGTGTGTTCCTGTTTTACAGGAATAAATAATAAATAAATAAAAGTCATAATGTTGCTACCATATAGGTGCAGTTATTGGATTATGTACTGAATCATAGGCGACAATTGGACTAGTGACATAAATCTTTCGCTTCATTAAAAACTGCTTTACCTTGGTAAAGGTTAGGTTTTGGTACCCCAAAATGGGCTGAGCGAAAAAGAAAAATTCACTAAAAAATGTAATATCAAGTGAAAATTTCTTTCTGCCTGTCCAGTCTATTGCGGTCAGGTACAACACGGGTTCGTGTTGTCAAATCACTCACGCGCGTTTTCCATTTATTTGGTTAGCGTTTCTGGATTCTTTTAAAGTAAAATATGTTTCAAATATCTGATTAATGTAACATTATCAATTAAGGTGCTCATGCAACAAGCATCTTACTTTCTTTGTCACCTTCATTACTTTATTTCATTCTTCAATACATTTATATTTCTTCTTTACATAATTCTTCTTTAGCGCCAGTTTTAATTCTTCATAGTCTTAGTGATTGATATACTATATCTTGACTATCTAGACCAAGGTGAGCAAGATGATGATCATCATCATCATCGATAAGTATTATCGATGACTGATGATAACTCACCATGTTGATTAGACAGGATAACTTTGGTGATTTAAGGAAACTACTCGTAACTGTAGTAATTATGTGTGACAGGTAGGTTAAATACAATTTTCTATCCCGTTTCGTCTATATCGTGGTAATTTTTTATAT